AATGCGTACTCATGGATTCAGTGTATACGCCAGATCATGTTCAAAGTGCCACTACGATTCTGAGTGGGAGCATAGTGCGTGGCGTACCACAAAAAGAAGGATGAATACCGAGAGCTTTATCGATTGTTCTTATAATTGGAATGATGATATGAAAATTAAGTGTGAAATTACTTGAAAACTAATAAAGTGGAGCAAAGAAGTCGTCTGACCGAGCGCCGTATTGCGGGACACTGACTTATCATTAGAATCGTCCACAATTCCGAAACTATTTCACAGATCAAAGCCACTAGAGTTTCCACCGCTGCCATTCTGTAATATAGAACGTTTTTTGTCAGGTTGAGACACAAGTCTTGGGGAGTTATGGCCTAAAACTATCCCACAAAATCAAAGCAACAATTGCGAGTCATTCAAGCGACAGTGAATGTCCGGGTTGGAGAGCGTCATTGAAAAGGCAAAAATCTTCGACGAGTCGTCGACAAATCCTCGACCGATGCTCAGCCTGCCCGCTAGCAAGCGTGTGTGTCGAGTACGCCTTCTCCAAAACGGGGCCATCAAGATCTTGAGAAATACGAGGGCCTTTTGAACGTTTTCGAAGGTTTTGAACTTTTGACCGCCCGAGTGGCGTCAAAAGCTTGACAATAGGTGATGTTTGGAGGATACGAGATGTGGTGAGTATGGTGGGTGAGAAAGTATAATTTAGCCGTTACTGGCTACTTCATTCTTCGTCGCCCTCACAAGGTGTGGTCTGGCATTATCATGCTGGAGGCAAACGCTTAGCTTGCCTCCCCCCCCATGTGCTCAGGAGGTGAGTCTTCAGCTTCCGCATAGTAGCCACGTAGACGTCGTTGGTAGTATAAGCCAAATTCTTGACTTTATTCAGGAACGTGAAGTCATTCAGATGCACTTTCGGTACCGGATGTACTTCACAAGAGAGGGAAATTCCAAAACAATTCCAAACAAGCGTGGCATCGATTAGTCCTAATCCGAGTAGCGGGAAAATTCTACTGACAGGGATGGGATAAGTTCTCATGGGTTGAGCAAATGCTAGAGCTCTTTCATTCGGGTATCCATCAAGCCTATCGCGCGGCAAAGGGATAGACGCAGGAGGATTGCTGGGCAGATCACCTGCTCTGAAGGAAGACGAAGAACATTCGGCTCCGTGCTCACCTCTTCGACTTCCGCTGTCCTTCCTGCCCTAACCTACGCCTCAGAGACTTGGACTCTGCGCAGGCAGGACGAGCATGCGGTCAACGCGCTGTCGAGAGGACGATGCTAGGAGTAACCCTATACACGCAAGTGCAGAGGGGAATCCGGAGTTCCGAACTACGCCAACGATCGAAGATCAGGGACGCTGCCGTTTTCGCCAAGGAATCGAAGATAAGGTGGGCCGGACACGTCATGCGATTTTGCGATGACCGTTGGACCAGACTGGATCCCTCGGGACGTCAAACGAACACCTGGACGACCGCCGGCCCGATGGTCAGACTTCTTCACGAAAGCTCTGAACGAAAGGAATGAAGGACATCGTGTCCCTCGAGCGAGGAGGGTCCACTGGACAACTCTTGCACGCGACAGGGACGAATGGAGACGTTGCTGGCGCCCGCTCGAGCAATTCGATGATCAACGGGACGACAGGTGATACAGGTGATATACCTTGTCACCTTCCCCCCTCCCTGCTGTGTCCCTGTTTTTCACGGTAGCTCTAGATCGACTCAGCGTAGGGCGCGAAAACTCGCCCTATCTCTTGGGCCTATCTGCTTCCGCGGGTTTAGGTCGCTCTGACTGGTATCATTCGCTTTTCGCTCAATTTTGTTAGCCAAGAAGGGGGAGGAAGGAAGACAAGGTGGTACAAATCCACTCACAGTGACGTTACAATTGTGATAACCTTAGCGGCTCTACGCTTCTGCCAATGCTCGGCCAGAGCCACACCTTTCAAGATTATCGTTCCGAGGTAAATAGCAGCAAGCACAACTAAATAAAAGCGAATGACAATGGTCGTATTGAGAAATCGAGCTTCCAGTCAGTACCCACGTTGTTGGTATTGCAAAAATATCGTCATGACACCACATGATCGAGTTTCATCTCCAAAAATCCACCATAACACATACAAAACAAGCGAAGAAATTATATGGAAGGCTGTTGAGATGAGGTGCGATACGAGAAGCGAACGGCTCTTGTGCCTGGAATTTTCATAAGAAAATGGAATTGGTTGAAATGGTAAACACCGAAGAATGCTGGGCTTTCTATTTTAAGAAAGGACTGTGCTTTTTTCAATTTTGGAAAAAAGACTTTCCAACTCGACTTGGGTCGGAGTAGATACATCAACGCTGGCATCTATCTTCTCTTTTATGGTCTTAATTGACTTTCTGGTTTCCTCCTTTCCACCATCGTCAGCCTGCTCCTTGCTGAATTCTTTTCGGCTTTTACCTGATTTCCCTCTGCTTCCTCCCTTGCGAGCATCGCTGGGTTTCCCTTCTTCTTTTTCCTTGAGAGCATCATCAGGTTTTTCCTTACTTCTTTCGTTTCGTATCTGAGGCTTCTCTGTGTTTCATCTACACTTCCTGGTCCTTTCTGTTCGGATAGTTCAGAGCACTCTTTGGTCTTTTCTTGCGCTCTATGACGCTCTCCTCGGCTTTTTATTTTAGGACAAACAGACTTCTTTTCGGTCTTCTCTTTTCGATCATCGACGGGGTTCTCTTTGGTCTTTTCCTTTTGACTCTTATCACGCTTTCCTTTGCTTCTTTCTTTTCGAGTATCAGCAGGCTTCTTTTCTGTTCTTTCCGTCCGAGTATCGTCGGGCTAAAAACATTTCCATCTTCGTTAACTCGATGAATCTATTCAGTTTATTTGTGTGCTTCAGCTCCCCATCATGTTTCATTCATGTTCCATACCAGTTTAGCTCCGCCCGCTACCGCGCGCATGACACGGAAGCCTCTGACAAAACTGACAATCGGTGAAGCTTTAGGGTTTCACCGCTAAATTATAGCTGCTTCGTTAAATGCATTACTGTCCGTTGCATAGGCTGCCCATCTTGGCTGTATCTCACTGTTTGATAAGCGCAGTGAAGTGCACAGCTAAAGTGATGATGTAAACAACCACTATGCGTCGAGTATCGAGGTAATTTAGCGGTCGAATATCTCAAAACGGAATGCCCAGTATTCATTATCATATTTATTCGAGCATCCCATTCATCCTCAAGAACTCTAGAAGGTGTAGCGGTCGAAAGGTGTTGAGTTTACAATTACAACGCTGATGAAATGATATTGAAATGAAAGGCATTATCTACAATCTGCTCTCTATTCTCTATTTCAAGTGCTCTCTACGTTCGTACGCATGTCGTTATATCAGTCGTCATCAGTCGTTATCACTTGGTGACCCCCACCAAATATGTTTGCGTCCCACCCCCTATATCATGTCCCAAAATCAGCTCCTGACCACTGCTGCGAAGCGCACATGAATTTCGTGAAATTTGTATTTCAGCGCCTCGTATCTACTCTTATCAGTCGTTATCACTTTGTGACCCCCACCAAATATGTTCCCGTCCCACCCCCTATATCATGCCCCAAAATCAGCTCCTGACGACTGCTGCGAAGCGCACTATGAATTTCGCGACACTTGCGTTCTAGCGCCTTTTATCAGCCCTTATCAGTTGTTATCACTTTCTGTACCCCACCAAATATGTTCCCGTCCCACCCCCTATATCATATCTTGAAACCAACTCCTGACGACCACTGGTGCCCGAGCTATGAATTTCGCGACACTTGCGTTCTAGCGCCTTTTATCAGCCCTTATCAGTTGTGATCACTTTCTGTACCCCACCAAATATGTTCCCGTCCCACCCCCTATATCATATCTTGAAACCAACTCCTGACGACCACTGGTGCCCGAGCTATGAATTTCCGGTCAGACAGACAACACATACACACAGAGACACGCACAACCGCTTAGCCTATTATATATAGTAGGATTCTCTCAACAATCATATCGTTCTCATTCATTTCTCATTCTTTGACATTCGGACCTGATTCTTTCTTACAAGGAAGGTCTTTCAGGGTGTGCCAAGCTTTTTCAAAACGGTCTTTTGCATGATATAGGGCACATGCGGGAACCACAGAACCATGGTTAATTTTTCCTGAACGGCCCTCTGAATACCAGAAAAGGGGGTCCCTAGTCACACCTTTTTCACCAGTTTTTCAATCAAAGTCTATTTGTAAGGGTTACTGACGGTCCTAATCATGAATATGGTACTAATTATTCATGCTAACTCCATTTTGCGCGAATTTTGAAACGTCAACTCGAAATGCAAAAATTTGTCACCACGAGGAATCGAACTAGGGACCCCTTTTCTGGTATTCAGAGGGCCGTTCAGGAAAAATGAACCATGCTTCTGTGGTCCCCATATGTGCCCCAATGTCATGCAAGAAACCATTTTGAAAAAGCTTGGCACACCCTGAACGACCTCCCTTGTTAGGGGATCACATGCATATGTGGTACCCCTCCTGGAACTTTGAAAGTTCACGCAGAAATCGCGCCTTTTCAAGTATTTGTTATAAATAGGTCCAGTGTCAAGAGCCGTAGAAGCTGAGATCCTCTACTGTCTACGCAAGAAGGTTCAAAAAATTCGAAAAAAAACTTCTATTCTGGATGCGCCATGCACTCAATTTCCAACTGTAGAGAGACCGATGTATGCGCTACGCATGAATACCACTTATGGAAGTTGACCAACCGGCAGGTTGAACATTCGCTCCAGATTGCACCACCTACTCAACTTCATGCAGTACACTGTGTAGATATTCGAATTTTTTTTATATTAGGTCAACTCATTCAAACATGTCCAGACATCTAGAGAAATGGTGGGAAAAGTAAAAGAGCTAGAGCATTCTACTTGCTTTTGCTTTTAAGCTAGCACACCCAGCTACGGTATACCTAATTTAGTTTATAGTGCTGCAGGAGGAAACACTTAAACACATAAAAGAATTCATAGTGACCCAAATCGAGGTGGAATTTCCAGATGACTGGTGACACACGTAAAATTCGCAACTCGAATTCTGTGTGTGCTGGCTCAACTTACGCGTGATACAGTGTTCTCGAAGTGCTACGTTGAAGATATGGTGTGAGAGCTCAAAGAAGGGAGAACGGAAGCGAGTTGTGGTTGAGGACGCGTTCATATTGTCCACCTTCCCCAAGAAGAGCGGGTGGATGAAATGAGGTTTCAAATGGCGCATCACAGATGTTGAACCTTTGCGATGTTTGCCCACGAGACTTGCAGTCTAGCTGCACCTGTTACGCAAATTGCGCAAGTTGATGGTCCACAGAACATGTTTTTGGATATGCCATTTACTCCCAGATGCAGGAGTCCAGAATCGAATTGGTGTCTGTAGCAATGATTTTCTCTGCCGATAACGGCATTTAAGACTATCAAACTGGACCCTGCTCATAAACGAAATTTGTGTGTAATTGTACGCTGAGGCCAAAGTCAGAAGTGTCAACTTTGGATTAACGCGAATAAGGAACTGCCCGAAAATGACACGAAGTTCACGTGGATGTGATTATTATGGCGATGGATTTCTGAGGTGTGCCTCTTAAATGGCTCTGTCGGGAAAAAACCTCCGGCGTTTCTCAAGTTTATGGCTTGTTTCTTAGCGAACAAATTGACAAAGGAATAGCAGTATAAAACTACAATAACGATATCATCACCTATGTCGATACCAGACCCTACATAGCTCATATTGCTCACGGGTATTTCGATCAAACGGATATTGTGGCCTCTTCTTATCAGCTGTATTTTCCCAACTGCAGCCATGCGACCTCAGCTGTTATCGAACTGAACGCCCTACTCGTTCAGAAGCGCTACGACAATTCGTTGATCATCTATACTGACATCAAAAGCATCTTGTCTATACTTGTTGAAATGAAGAAGCTGCGCGGTGTCCAGTGTTTTCTAGACGCTGGGATCGGGTCGTTAACAACGACAAGATCTGCTTGACTTCACACCAAAGTATTAGCTTTTTATCTTTCCTGCTGTTCATTTTATTCGAATAAAACCGTGGACATGTTTGAATGAGATGACCTAATAGATTCCATCCATGAGTTATGGGCCATTTTGATGTGCTAAATGATCGAACGTGTATAATCTATTTCGGAAGACGAGAAAAAATCGAGTGCAGACCACACACCATAAGAGACGACGGCCAAGAAAAAACGGCTTTTTCCTTAGCCGTCGTCTCTTATGGTGTGTGGTCTGCACTCGATTTTCTTTCGTCTTCCGAAATCGAGGGTGAACTCTGCGCTCAACATCCCTTATCTGGTGACTTAGTGTAGACCTGATATCAGTCTTTAGCAGAAATATTAGGCCGATTTTTTCAAATAATTTCTGAATTTGACGGGATTTTTTGACGAAGCTGGGAGGGCAGTGATAAAATCACTCCACTGTTTTGATATTTGTAGAAATATTGTGGCATAATTGATCGGTGGTAAAAGTTTCTTCCGTGAGGTGACCCGAAACGTCACTCCGCATCATGTTCTAGTGGAAAAAATCAGGTTTTTTTTGGCGTTTCAGATGCAGTCAAGTAATAAGTGATCTATCCAATTCGTCATAAAAACGCTATCTAACAACATTCTTTGTTATGGAAAAGCTGCTTTGCCTTGTTCTAGGCATTCTCCTTCCATTCTGCCATCGTGAAATTCACGTGCGTAGCATTTGCGATCGTTCTCGGACTCATGAAACGGCCACGATGGGTTATAGATCGTGGAGAGGAGAGAAAAGCTCACCGGCCAGGCGGACACCAGCACTGAGACGTCAAAATGACGTTGCAGCTGCGGCAGGCTCAAAGGAATGGCAAGCATTGGCCATCAGGGTAAATATCGGTCGAGGATTCCTCAACGGCACGTCGAGGATTTTTGCCTGATCAGTTACGTTCTCCCGCGCGGACATTCACACTCGCCATGCGCGAGCCGTCTGTGCTCTCCGCGCGTACGTTCACTCTCGGCACTACTCTCGCACAGTACAGAGCCATGGTCGAGGAATTCCTCGACTATTTACCCTGGTGGCTAGGGTCAACCGTGCCCTGTGCAGATTTCAATATTTTTACGGATTCCCCCTTCCACTGGACCCCTTCTACCAATTATTTATGTCCATTCACCTATTTTCACCCTCACCATTGATGGGCCATCATGAACATTGAAAGAGGAGGTGGACAGTGAGAAGTTAATAGGTCGCGCACTTTTTCTTGCTCAAAGGTCGAGACTCGAAGCGCCATGAAATTCCACTCATCTAATAGAGGTACTTCTAATATTTCGCGTAAACATAGGAAAACTCTGTTTCGAAAAACGAAAAGAGCGTCGTGTGCAGACCACACACAAATAACGACGGCCTCCACAAAATGTAAATGTTTTCTGCCAATGAAATGATTAGCCTGTTGCAGTTGTATTCTATCATTCGTCACTAATTACAGCTATCATTGACCAAAAACCAGCTATCACTATAAACCAATGCTAACCAAATTTACTTTGAAACCTTTTTTGTTCCGTTTTCTGTGCACAAGCTGGTACTCAACATTTCAATAATCATAACTCTTTCCATAATCTTCGTGTTGTAGATTGTAGGGCTTCAGGAACTAGATGATTAGCGCTTTTGGGGAAGTACCGTAAGGCTTTTCAAAGGTTTGTAGTCCGATTTTTGAGAACGCGCAAGGTTTCATCATTTAAACGTTCATACCTTAATTAATTAATTTTTTGAGGATTTGCAAATTAGTTAATTTTAGAGGATTTGCAAGGTTAGCTAGAAACTAGAAGATTACAGCTTCTAAACAAATACTTATACCCAAATGACTTTTTTGAAGGATCACTTCTACAAGAAACAGTCCAGTTGTTCATTTTTCCATCCATGGCTTTTTTAGGCCATTCATTTGAAACGCGAGTTTTCAACCTTTGAACGCCTCCCCAGAAATTGGTGTAAGGAGAAGCGTCAAACCATTGAGATCTACAGTCTCAGTTGTTCATAGAGTATGCTAGAATCTCCGAATGTAGAATTTAAAACTTTCTTCTGCCAGAATTCTCAAATAGGACTCTAGTAGTCAATCCGCCGAATTGGTTGCACTCTCCTCAACTCTGATCGTCTAAAAGCATCGGGGTTTTTTTTGGAAGGATCTGTTTGCTTGTGCCCATAGGAATATGTGATTCAACAAGATTTTCTATGGGATGCACCATTCCATCGCACATATGTGATTAGTAGTCAAAGTGCAAATTGGAAGTGTGGCTCACTTTGCCACTTTGCCATGCCTTGATTCCTCCAAATTTTGTGACTATTATTGGAGTTTGTGACCCCCTCCCCCGTTTGGCCAAATACGACTCTGTCGTCAATCTTTCCGCAACGAACGATTGTCCGTGGCAGTGGCCAGCGACGCTGCTACTTCGCTCAAAAAGTGCCATGTTGTCACTATATACACTTGTTAAATCAGTTGCTGCGAGCGAAATGATGGTGATATCTACGAGCACCATCCTCGCACTAGGAATTGGAATCTTTTTAAAATGGAAGAGGTCAAGGCCTACATATGCAAGCTCTTAGGCTTAAACCAGAACTCTGACCAGTAGGCAATTGGGGTGATCTCTTCCATTACCCAGCGTACGCACCCGTTCTGATGCCCTACAGCACATCAGTAATCACCATTAGCGTTTCAGTCTCCATTAAGAAAGAACCAAGTCTTGGTTGGCTGGGTACTACTGGAGACGAAAAGGAATCAGCACCTTTCTCAAGTTCCTTACTAAACTCCTTTTTCTATAAATGCACATGGTTTCAAAACCAATCGCAAGCACAGCATTCTGAGTAAATTGCGTAGAGCACTGAGCCGAACGTCATGAAATTGTAGGACTGGTATGAGACATCATGCAATAACACATAGTTTGCAGTTGGTGCATTTGTGTCTTCGCCGTTTGGCACGGATCTCCTTCTCGCAAGTTTGCTTCTCGATGAAATCCCCATTGTATTTTATGATAGGCGGCTCATTAACTTTTCGGCGAGGTTTATTGTAGGAATGATGTTGCGAGTTTCGTGAGCCCCTACAATAGCGCGGTTTGCTCGTATGTTTGTGAAGTTATCTACAAGTCTCATACCGACCACTGTAAGATTTGTGAGTGTGAATTACGGAAGCAATCTCAGTAGACTCAGTCTGTTATCGATAGGCAAAGAATGCTGTACGAAAGTAAGTTTTGTGGGTTTTGATATAGTGAAAGGGTTCAGGATGATCATTTGTCGTACAAATGTAATGACTATTCTTTATGATTGTAACTTGCAAGCTATGGAATATTCTGCAAATATCAACCAATTTTACCATTTTGAAGCATTTAGTGAAATGCATCATGGCATTATGCATAGCGCCTCATCCCTACTGCATTTGCAGTTGGTGCACTTGCAGTCGTCATCGGTTTGGCACGGTTCTCCTTTCTCGTAAATCAACTGGTCGATAAAGTTTCCTCTGCAAGTTAATCATAATAGGAGCTTCGCGTTGGGACGTGGTATCACTGCTCGCCATGGAAAGGTACTTACCCAGGGCGGTACTGACAAACCACAAATGTCATTGGCACTGGGGGGTCATTGCAGTATTCTATCACACATCCGAGCTTGTAACTACTCTGCCAAACCATCTGAAAATTCGCAAATATTGAGGACGAGTGATTCGACTACTTATTCTCGCCTCACCTGAGTGTAGTGACCAATCTGCTCTTTCTGTCGATAAAACAGTTCGTTAGTGAGTATGTTGTCTTGTCCAACACCATGGTCTTTTAATTCAGCGAAGAACTTATCGCAGGCCTAGAGCACGGTTGTTTTTTGCACTGAAAAATTGCTAACGTTGACAATTGCTCTTACCATTTCCGCTGCAAGTGACCTATTCATTTCCGGTTGAAGGCTCGCCCATACATTCTCACCAAGACCGAATCTGTCGGCTTTGATGGAATGTCCCCATCTGCATTTCTCGGCATGCCTCAGTGCGTTTGCTTCGATTTCGCAATCATACACCTGAATGACCCATCGTCACATGACTTACGTTGCGCAAGAAGCACTTGTCGCCTATGCGTATGTGACCGCACCATCTTAAGCATTCTTGCTGCTTTGGGAGCGTATCCACCGAACTTGTCCTTCGCCAATCCTTTCGCAACGAATGATCTGGAAGAATATAATCAAAACCATGGTTGACATCCGGCACGACCACAGCTAACCTGTAGTAGTTATGTTTTTTGAGGAAAATCTCTCTGAGGTCATCTGTCATTCCGGTATTGGCTTTGCATGAATCTGGAATCAGCATCATTAATTTCCTAGAACAGAAGTAACTTGAAAATCCCTCAAACCTGGTCCCTCCACTGGTGGCCTGGGCTTCTTAGTAGATGTTTTGGTTTCAGGTTTCATCACCATGTTAGTTTCGCAAATACCGTTCGAGCAAAATGAGTCGGGATGAGCGTCGCACTCACAGGTTCTTCCATTTTCCCACAACTCTTGCATCGGTGGTATTCTTCTGAAATTGAAAACACTATTTTGCATTATTTTTCTTCACTCCTGCCATCACGGTTTC